AGCGAGTGCCTTTTAACCCTTCTGCCGGGGGCTCAGCACAATTAGTATCTTGAGTTCTCAGACTGTCACTAGACTAGCAATCAGAGGAGTCTTGCATTGCTTAACCTCCGTGACATCATGGAGCATAATTAGCAATTTGGCTAGAAATGCTAGCCACAATTTCACCAAACATTGACACAATTTTGAAAAATTTCAATATCATGGATTTTATTGCAATTTTCTGTGGTGGCTGTTTTTCTATATTAAGTTGCTTTGTTTCGAAACATCACATAAACCTATGGTTTGCTTTTGGTTACAGTTGTAACCTAAAAAGACTTTCTAAAGTGTTGTGATGCAACACTGTCGAAACTTCGGAAACTTTGTGTTAATCAAATTTGAATTTGAATTTAGATCAAACTCTCTCAAATCATGTAATCTGCACTATGTGGGGTAGGTAATATCTCCATTGCCACTTAGCTTACTTTTAAAAATATAATAAAATCTTTCAAGTATGGTAGCAGTGACTTCAATACTCTGAATAAAGATAGTTGTAACATTTGCAACAGATTATACTGTGAAAATGATGATTGTGTACATTGATATAACACAGTAGATCTTTAAAATAAACAAAAATGTGGCAATGTTACACCCCACCCCACCCCACCCATATCCATCTTTATTCTTGGTTGTTATTTTCAAAATCCTGAATGCAATTATACACAAAGAACTTAAAAGAACAAGTTATCTTTATGCAATTAAATACCTATAATATTAAATAACACAATAGCAAATATTTTGTAATATTTATGTGGGATTCTGATCAACAATGAAGTAATGAATACATCAATGGACGTGAGAAAAAATCTCACATGTGAGTGACCACATTAGGAAGGTAATAGCAGGTTAGACCCACATTCAACAATAAATATTTAACCATGAAATTTTGATGTTTCCCTTTTTGTTTATTCAAGAAACTTTGAAATTTTACAGAAATATTGTTCAAATATTGCACTTTCTGAATCAAGGGTTCATTTGTATAATGTATCAGTATCCAGATACACAATACATTATAGGCCTACTGGGTTCAAGCACATTTTTCTCCTTATTCTAGCTTACAGTATCTTTTTCCCAGGCTTTTGGTGAATAGTGTAGGTGAATAGGTGAATAGTGTAGCTAAACAACAAAGGTTACTGTGCCACACTGCATAATGAAATATAAGAGTATTGAAGATTCAATTACCCTTAAGATAAGTTATTAGATAATTAATATTAGTCTAAAGACAAAGAAAGGTGAGAGTTTTATATATAAATAAATATATGCCTCATTAAAGAGATGGGTTCTCCAATTAAAACAAGTCTAACACAAAATAATTTGGTTTAGTAAAATATGGCTTTCTTATTCATAACAATTTGTAATTATGTGCTTCATTTGCTTGATGAAGTTCTGCAAATAATTACCATTTTGATTTGGATAGTTGTCTCAGAATTTCTCCTATATACCTTTTCACAAATATTTCTTTTATTTTTTACATACAATAAAATATAAAATAAAATAAATATTTATAAAAATGTATAGAATCGAAATTCCGAGATAACTACACATCTAAATGAAATAGAACACATTTATAAGTTAGCTATAAGAATACGAGTTAAGAAACAAATTTCATGTTTTCCATTGTGATCAGAATCAATTGCATGAGCAATGAAAAGATAAAATGCAGAAGAAAGAGGTGCTCTTGAAAGAACAAAATTCAACCACAATGTATAAAGCAAAGATGTGTGTGTGTGTGTGTGTGTGTATATATATATATATATATATATATATATATATATATATATATATATATATATATATATATATATATATACACACACACATATATATATGTATACATATATATACCAGTACTATCCAAGATATACACCAGTATTATCCAAAGAAAAGAGGGATGGATTATGAAGAAGAATAAATCAAAAATGACAATGAGAATAATAAAATTATGAAGCCAGAGACAAAATGAGGGAAGAAGACTTTAAAATTTCAACCATTTCCAAAAACTTAAATATCTGATAATGTCCGGAAAAAAGGAAACGGAAAGGAAGGAAAAGGAAAGTTGTTTTTGGTTTACATCTTTTGTTGTGGAAGAACTTTTAGAACATTTATTATTCAACACATTTGAAACTGAATTCACAGATCAGATAACATTTGCAATGAATTGAAAAAAAGAAATGGTTTGCTTAATACAAATGTTAGTACTTTCAATAACAGACAAGATGTACAAGACAAAGAACAAATGTTAGTAATAATCAATCAACTACCCAAGGAAACACTTCACAAAAAACTAGCAACTGATAGTTCAATTACATAATTAATATCAGCAATGGAGTCGGAAAATCAACAAGTGAAGGTTCCTGTAATGTTTTGGAATTTATATAATTATTTATTTGTATTACATTGTCTATACTTTGTTTGTATTCTACTACTGCTCGTTGTACTTGCTAATGAACTCGCTGTTATTGCTTTCAAATACAGCAATTTTTTTTAAAAAGTTCAAAGGTGGTCCAGGTGCTCCAGTATAATAAATGAAACTTTTACCTTCCCTTAAAGTCAAATATAATTACTTTTACTGTATTTGGCATAAATAAATAATAAATACCTACACTCCAGAGGTTTTTTTTTCTTCAGGGGTCCATGTACATCTGAATATTTGCAACTTCATATGGCAAAATATACATTTCCATAGTTATGTATTAACAAATAGGATTTAAACAGTTCTTCATTGTTGACACAGAGTTTAAACATACAAAACCATTACTTATATTTCATTATAAATGTTTTGCATTTTTAATATGTACTGTATGAAGTAGGGTGGTAATTTGTCAAGTTGAAACTGAGAATCACTCATTAAGATGTTTTCCTTCAATTAAAGATAATCAGGTAAGAGACTATTTGGACTAAATCATTCATTGGAATATATCTAGCTTTAATTGTTTTCTGTGAAATTTTGCTGTATGAATTTCACAATATACAATTAATGCTAGATATGTTCCAATTAATGTTTTAATGTAAATAGACTACTATCTGATTGTCCTTAATTGAAGAAAAAATATCTTATTCTTCTTAATAATTTCTTTTCAGCACAGTTAGCAAACATGTAATTCAAGTTGATAGTAGTAACCGATTTATTTACTACAAATATCTTTTTAAACGATAAAAATGCACATAAATTATATTATCAGGCAGAATATTTGGTTTTAGACAGAAAAATGGAGGAAACTCAAAATCTATGATCACTATGTGAAGGAACTATAATTTATCTTCTTCTGCTATTCTTGATAAGGGCACAAGGAAGAAAATGTGTAGTGATGTCTGTAAACACGTAAAAAATTTATAGCTACAGATGAAAGATCTGGAAATGTGATTGTAGAAGGAACCAACTAGTATTATTCTGTTGTATTTTTCTATATTACATTTATTTTACCATGAATATAATAAAAGTACACATTTCCACAACAGGTAGACCAAGCAAAGCAAATCATGTAATACATTTACATGTATAGTTCACAAAAATACATGTATTTAGAAACATAGATATCTGAAAGAAGTATAGGCAAACTGATGTTTTGAAACATAATTTAAGAGTTAAATAAAAAGGAAAAGAATATATGGTCATATTAATCTAGAGGAAATTAATATAATGCAAACTCATGAAAAAGAAAAAATTAAATTAGAATTATTAACATGCCTACGACCTTTTCACCATTATGAAAAGAGACAATTCCTTGAATTTTGAGAAGCACACAGATAAAAGTTTTCTCATTTTTTTAATAAAAAATTCAACTGAGAAGCATTTTAAGAGATTAGAATGAACTTGAAAGAAGAAATCATTGAATTAAAATAAAAGAATGTGAAGAAAGTGGACCTCCAACAGAAGAGTAGCAAGCAATGTTAGATGGAACATATACTATAAAGATGTATGAAAGGAAGAATTGATCAGCATTTCACAACAGGAACTCCATTAATTTATATATTTAAAACATTAAGTGCATTAGAATAGAAGAGAAATCTATTTTTATCTAAATGCAACACTATACAAAAAACGAAAAGGCATTAAAACACACAATATTTAACATGCAAGTTTTATTCATGCATACGAGTTCACAAGAAAGAATTGTATAAGACGATGCAACCAGTTATTTAGGAATTGTTTCTATAATTTGGATAAAGAGAAAAATTAAACATCAATTATTTTTCATACAAGCTACAAAGAGCAAGATTTTTTCTGAACTAAAAGCATATCATAAATTTTCTGCAGAAAACTCCATAACACACAATACACTTAACTAGACTACTATTATATACTTTTCCAACATTACTGGTAACACCTAGGAAGGACGTTAGTGCACATATACATATTCATGCATATAATGGTAGGTATTTCTTGACATTCATAACACAGAGCTAAATGTAAATGTTTGCATTCATATTACATACTTATACACATTCACATACATACAAAATAAATAAATAAAATTATGAAATTTGTAATAAATAAATTGACACAAGAATGGAACTTTAATTTAAATGAATTATTAATCACCTCATTTGGTGAAAAGTTTAATGAATCAGTAAAAAATTTCTTGCCCAATTCATCAGCAAAGATGAATTTAAAAGAAGAATTTTGTATGTAGATGAAGTTAAATAGTCATGTAACAAAAATAAATGATTACACATTTTTCACATATATGTAAATAAAATTAGTGATGAGGAACAGCATCATATGTTATGTACAACTTGTACAAAACAACACTGTATAAGTGACATATGTAAGCATACAGTAGAGTAATAATCACACATATATTACACAAAGAATACGGGTTAGTGAAGGCATGAAATTCTGTAGTAAGGGATATAGAATCACACTCGAAATTCAACCCTTTCAATTGGCATGTTCTTTGTATAAAATCTATTAAAATGAGAGCATCTCCTACTTTGTCTTGTGATGTCAATGGGCACTGAACCTCTCCTTAGGAAGCGGTCTCCTTCTCCTCTCAGAGGAAACGTGGTAGGCCCAGAATTATCATCTGAGCGACTGAGCAATCCAACTGGAGCAGAGCCTCGTCTCTGCACCAGACCCTGAAAATGTTACAACAGTTTATTGTTTTCTTCTGAAGAATGTGTATATAAAAGATGTTTAAACAAACACTTATTCACAATATTTAACAAATTTCAAAATAATTTGCTATCAAAATTTCAGAAAGATATGACTTCATGGCACCTACAATAATGTCCACATTTAGCTGTACTTACAGGTATACAACAAATCCTGTACTCTTCATATTAAATTTCTTGTTTTTATGTTCCTTTTCCTCAAATATTACTTTCTCGCTACCACTTACGCAGTAGACAGGGTTATGATTACATTACACAAAAGTATACTCTAAAAACTTTTTTGACGGCGAATTGACGGTTTTCTGACGGCGAATTTTCGGCAGAAAAAATTATTACAGGGCCCTGGTAACGAAAAAGTGGATAAATACGATTGCTAAATTTGGAAAAAAGTCCTCTAACAAGTGATGTAGCCAGAATCCAAGTTTTGTGGGTCCTTGATACCAAAAATCGAATAACGATAAATCGAATGACATCCGTCTGGGAACAACGCTAGCGGTTAAACCGTTCAGCCGATTTTCTCCAAAATTGAAATTCCCAAATCGATCTGACTGATGTTACGTCACCTTGAATTTGAAACCGATATTTTAATTTTGGGATTACTTTATATGAAACCTCTGAGACATTTTCAAAACAACTGCTCCATCGTTTTTGATTAAATTTTGTTGTTGATAGTCAAAAGGACGTTTAAGATAATGGTGCAGATCTAATTTTCGTTAAAAACTCTGATTTTTCGAAAATTGCAAAAATTCAAAATTTTTTCGGCGTCATCCTACAACTACAATTATGAAGATATGGATTTTTTTCCCTCAATGAAATCTGTTCCTTCAAGATATATTTTGAAATAAAGTCATGTACAAGTTTTCGAAAATTTGGTAGTAAGTTTCTTTTCGCGTAATTTTGCGTGGAAGTACGACCGAGAAAGTACGTCCTGTTTTAGCACCAATCGTTCAATGTATTTTCTTGAGATTTAATCGTGTTGGAAAACATTGTTTTACATGCATTGTAGCAGATATATAATATTTCCTTGATAATAAATATGTTATAAGAAATATAATGAATGTCAAAACTTTAAAAGAAATATTTGTCTTTATTTTGATATAACCCAATATTTTATACATTTATATTAATAAACTTACAACTGTACCTACCTACAACAAATCTACAACATTTCAACAGTTCATATTGCAACTTACTGTATTCATTTCAGAATAATTACAAGGGTAGGTTCTGAGAAAAAGGAACATAAAAAAATGTAATTTTTCTCAAACAATTTTTAAAATTATATAAGTGTACAACAACAACTATCTCCTTATCAAAACACTCCGAGACATATACAAACATGAAATTACAGCACTGTCAGTGCATGCAATCTCTGAAAACTTTCTGAGAAATATAAACAAAACCACAACCTTTTACGTTGTTCTAAAGTTTCACTTGTTTAAATTATTGTGCGTCAAACTCAGCAGTAATTTTGACATGCGCAGATATATGAATAAATAATAGACCTTGTTATTAGTTATGCCATAAATTATATACCAAATTGTACAGAAACACCGAATACTGAATTGAAACCGAACACCAAAAATATCAAAATTTTTAGGTTTTCAATGATGACTCCCCCTTAAGATGTTTAATGATGAACAGCACTTATTATGTCACCAACAATGTAAATCAAGCATGACATATGGAAATGATGTTAACTTTATATAAAATTGATATGACAGGAATTTATCTGTTTTAAACTTCTAATGATTTGCACAGGTACTTTTCTTATTTTAATTTATAAACAAATGTAAATATTTCAATTATATTTCAGCATTAATTAATGTTCTATTGTGAAGAAAGAATTTCAAAAGTTTTTGTGGCATTAAGTTTCAAATACAATATCAATTCAAACATCTAATATAAAATAAAGTTAGTTTAAATAACTTTTATGTAATTGTTTTAATAATAACAAGTATTGACTGTAAATGCAATGTTTTCTATAATTTAATTACCTTGTGGTAAGAATATCTTAATTTATTGAAACAACTTCCTTATTCTATAACTTTTATGGATTACTGCACAGGACAGTGATATTTCTCATGTTTCTTTTGCATTAAAAATCTGTATATTATGAACTGATATTCTCTGATTACCCAACATTGGCCACTCTCGTTTACCCAACATGGGCATAATTCTGAGTCACTTCATGAAAAGTTTATGACTGTCTTGAATTTGGAATTAATAAAAAAAAGTTAGAGCGCGAGAGAATATTTGCCCCCCTCCCCGACGGTAACGTCCTGGTTACATATAGCAGGGGCGCCCGGAGAATATCAGAGACTTGGGGCAGTTTATCCAAAGGGGTCCCTCATTCAAACAAAAATGTCCCCCTCCCTTAATTTATAAATAGAATTCATTTCTAAATGCATCAGAAATAACGTATAGCGTTAAATTTGAATTAGAGACGAAAACATTTTTTTCTCTCTCTTGAATGGAAAAAAATCCCCTTCCCCGCCCCCACCCGTCCTGGTCGCCCTCTGACGTATAGAAATATGTCAATTCAGAAATTGATACCTACATGGATATTAAACATTTCACATGGAATGCCGTTTTCGAGTTCACTCAATTTTACAACTACCGCATTTTAACACCACGTGGTTCTCGACGGATCCAAGATGATCGCGAACTGTAAAGGTAACGTCACTTCAGTTTATTACTACACGTAGAGACGCGTAAGTATTCATATAGATACACAGAGCAATCACATTAACGTGACCACCCGTCATAATCCTGAATAACACTCTTTTGCTGCGCTGACAGCAGCGAGACGTGCACGAAGAAAGTCAGGTTATGTTCTGGATGGTACCGGTAGGGACGTGGAACCATGCCCCACTCTAGTGCCGGGGCCAGCTGCGCCGGGTTCCTCGGCTGTGAATCCATGACGCGAACAGCCCGATCGAGATGGTCCCACAGATTCTCGAGTGGGTTTAAATCGGGGAGTTTGGTGGTCAGGAGAGTGCTGTAACCTCATCTTGGTGCTCTTCGAACCACGCACGTTATACGAAGTCGACTCCGGTTATAGTGAGCTTCTGGGGACTAACATTTTTGGTTCACTATATCCGAGGATGTCGAAATTCAACAGAATTTCTCCATAATGATTGATTTTATTAATACAGAGAAATAGGAAAATACATTAACAGCACGAACTGAAAATTTCAATATCTTTATTTGTCCTTCAAAAATCAATTTCTTTTTAATTGTTTACTTCCTACTAACCTAATTTTTCATTAGCAATTTCTCTAGATCCTTCTCCAGAGTTCGTGCTCTCTCCATGAATGATTCTACATTATCCATTGTCGCTAAGTATCGTAATGCAGTCTTGACACCCTTCAATGCCTCTTGCACTGTTGAAGCTATTCCACTCCCGAAGGTCATTTTCCTCGCCTAATAATATACGAGATGCTTTCGGTAGCGGGATGGCGCAAGCGTGTAGAGAAATTGATCGCTTTTCCACCGCCACGGCGGATATCGCCAAGCTGTGGCAGTCGCCTGCGTAGAATTCATGTCGCCTGCGTAGAATTCATCGCGCTTTGTCCCGCGGAACATCAACGCCAAGATTGAAACTTAAGCAAGTAATCGCGCGTCGCCGCCGCCAGTTGTAGCCCATGCAGAACACGGCCATTGTTTCCACAGTGAAACTGAGTGGCATAAAGTCATCTGTAAGGTGTTTATTCCCGGTCTCCCACCCTCACCTCAGGGGAGACTTCTATTATGGCCTTCGGCCGACGACATTTTTTCAAGCAGTGTTGGAATTTGTGGCAATATATTGGCTGAGGCGATATATTATTTTCCAGTGGGGAATTCATTTTTCAGGATGTTAAATTTCTTATGTTCACTACAGCCGAGATACAGGTTCATTATAACCGGGTCTTCTTATGCTTATTTGTAATGTAAGTGAAACGGGACCAGTGACGTAAGTTCACTCTATCCGAATTCACTATAACTGGAGTCAACTGTAAAGCGTGCTGTATGACACGTACTGTCCTACTAGTAGATGGCGTCTTGCTGAGAAAACCGATCTGTGTGTAGGGGTGGACATGGTCTCCAAGGATGGCTGCATACTTCCGTTGAACCAGTGTGTCTTCCAGAATTATGAGATCACCCAGAGAATGCCATGAAACCATTCCTCACACCATCACGCTCCTTCCTCCAGCCTGGACCCATCCGGCGGTTGTTGCAGGGTGTTTGCGTTAAGATGTTTCACGCCATATACGCCAACGACCAGGCGCCCGATGGAGCAGAAAACGTGATTCATCTGAAAAGGCCATCTGTCGCCACTCAGTGGACGTCTAGTTGCGGTATTGGCGCGCAAATTCCAGCCTTCGTCACCGATGAACAGCAGTCAGCATGGGTGCATAAACCAGGTGCCTGCTGCGGAGACCCATACGTAGTAACATTAGCTGAACGGTTAATTGAGTGATTGATTAGTGTTTCCGGGCGCGTCAACTGCTAAGGTCACTCGTCCCGTAAGCGTAGTGCATCTTTCATCGCGGTAGGTGTCGGTCAACTTCCCCCGCTGTATGGCTCGCGAATCGGCGCCGACCTACTGACGGCTTACAGAGATATTATCTAAACTAGGTATCTCTCAAAAGTGTGACACTGCCCCAGCTGGGACAAGCTCTGAGCTCCCGATTGGTCTCCCGACATAGTGATAGTGCAGTGCACATGAGTGTAAGTAAGCGGTGAGGACAGAACAAGGAAGATGGATGAAAAATCGCGCGCGGTCGGCTGAATTCGACCTAGCTGATAGCGAGGGATGAGCGAGGGTCGAAAAATCTGCCACCGTCGGAGCTCGAATCTAGGACCTCCCGGTCAAAGGTACTGCAGTTGCCCTGAGCCACCTTTCCCAGTCTGAACGATTGTTGAGGAGATCTTGTAGGTAGCTCCTTGGTTCATCTTTGCGGTCTGTAGCTCTATAGTTG